GAATGGGCCTACACTCTATACTGCAGAATGGCACCCTCTTCTCCCCAAATTTTAATAGCTCATCTTCTGTTTGATTCCTGGATTTCTGTCAGATCAACAAGTATTTTTTCTGTACTTGCAGCATTTTCAAAGGTAAAAAAACGGATAGGCAACCTCGGCACTTCAGCTGTGGTGAAACTAAAAATCCCATAATGCATCTGGGAGTCATGCTTATGGCTGTCAGAGTTTTGCAAAGCCTCGTGGGACTTGTAGTTCCACAACAGCTGGAGTGTTGAGGTTGTCTAAAAACATGAGTAATGCCCATGCATTACAGTGCACTGTCAGACATTTTGGTATCACCTCCTCTGACGGTATCACCCGGCGGGGGGTGCACCCCTTGCACCCCCCTTTTGACGCTTCTGTAGACTGAACTGCTTAACTGCGTTCAAGGAGAATTGTGGGGAGAGTGAAATACACTTATGCCCATAATTAGAGCCGATGTGTGATACTGAAGCTGTATGTGATCGCTGAGTTCCCGATCTTCTCCCTGCAGAGAGCAGTGACTGTCAGTCATCACTCCTCCCATCTCCGATCCTCCAGCGCTGACTGGAAGGACAGACGTGGGAGGGGCGGGCACTGCTGGCTGTAGAGAGGCAGAATCAGCTGTCAATCAGGTGTCGGGATCCGTACAGCTGCAGTACAGCTCTGCGCTTTCAGCATATAGCAGGCAATAGCCCACTATATGCTGAGTTTGGGGTCACGGGGGGCATTAGTAAATGTCCTCATGTGACCCTAAAGAGAACTATGGCAAACAAGGTTGGCCATAGTTTTATTTTAAAGTCATAAGAGAGATCCTGGATGTGCTGTCTATATACATATTTCCTATGCTCCCGGGCTCCGCCTACTGGCCATAATGCAGTATTACCTCACAATGCATTTAACCTAAAAAGAAAATGTACTAAGAACTTTCGTTTTTGCCATTATTCACACAAAATGAATGTTCACAGATATTTACAGGGCAAAGGGCCTTACAGATTGTTTATAAATAGACCCCTTAAAGTGTATGTATAGCCAAAACATTTTTTTTTCAATTTTGGATAAAGTAGGGAAGAGTTCAAACACCTAGCGGGTTATTTTTTTTTGCTAACTGGGTCCTGCTCGGGAAATTTCCCTCTACTTCCTACCTTGGAGAAGCAACAGGAAGTGAGCACAAATCTCCACAAAGTGAGGAGTGTTCCCTTCTTAGGGAGATGTCACCGGAACATTTGTCCTAATTGGAATATTTACCCTCACCTCGTGCTCTCACGATAACTGCAAACCTTATGATTTTTCAATGCTTTTTGTCTTAGTGACAATGGTCTCCAGGACAAATAGAGGGTGAATCTTCCCAACAGGGACACCAACTTCAAAAATAACTTGAGATAAATTGTAAACCTTCTCCAATCTATCCACAACTAGAGAAATCAGTTTTGCCTTAGCATACACTTTAACCTTTAGTGAGAGATCCTAAATTTGAATGGGACCCTAATACTTAACCTTACACCCTGAACCTATCATTAGCCGAACCCCTCACTTATTCCCTAAAGCTGAATTAACCCCTGAAGCCCCATACTTACCTTATCTGGCTAATGAAGCTTGAGATGTTCAAGTCAAACCCCAAACAAATACACGTGGCATAATATTTCCACTCTGCCAGATATGGCCACAATTGAATTCCCAATCTCAGTGTCATATTTTTTGGGAACAAAATCAGGCTTCAAGCTCAGTGTATAAATCATATTCTTTATTACATCACCATTAACGGGCTCATTGACCCCCAGAGAATGTGTCACATTTTTCCAGAGGTCTCTCCAATTCTTCTCCGAGAAAACAATCTAGAATGAAAAAAGTAAACTGTGATTATTTTTTTTCTTGCAAGGGGGTCCCCCCTTAAAATCTTTGACATTCTAGTTAGGGGTGCCTCAAGATTTTGCTTTCTTTTAAAGGGTGCCATGACTGAAAAAAGGTTGAAAAGAGAATGCCTGGGGGAAGATAATGAGGTATCCCCATCCTTCATAAACAAATGCTAAGCAGGGTTTTGTAAATTTACAGGAAGACAACAACATGGAGCAGATACTTCTTTGATGAAGATGAAAAAATTGCTTGATTTCCCTCTCAGTGCTTAATTTCCAGCCCCCCTCATTTCCATCTGGCCAATGAACTTTCTCTGGAATTAACACTAGCATGCACGGCCCCGTTATAAGCGGCTTAGCTATATCAGATCATATTTGTTTAAAGGATAAAAGCTTCCTAAAGCTCTTTAAAAGCTGAGCCAAAAGAAGCCACTGAATAGGGAAGGTGGTGGACAAGAGCTGCTGCGCGTGCAGAACGGGTGAATCGCATTGGGGAAATCAGTTACTGGTATTTCATGACCTAGAACTGTAAATGTGCTGAAACCAGCAATTTAATTCTGCAGACCATCATCACATGCAATTATCTCCGCTGCTTTGGTGCTTATTTTTCAAGTTGAAAGTAAATGTGTTTAACCCATTACTATCCGCATGAAAACATTAATCTACAGGTCACAAAAGGAGTGCTGCATGCTCCTAACTATGAGACTGCACTATCACTGAGAGCTCCCAGTCTCTATTAAAGATTGGGAACCAATGAGCGTGATTCCCGATCATATAATCACCATGTAATTTCTTATATGGTGATCACATGGTATTGTTAGTATTCATCTGTCATTGATAGTGGCTGTCCAGCGCGCCAGACAGTCCAAGGGCCGAACGAGGAAGCAGCAGCCAATCGGCGAGCAGCTCAAGACAGGCCCTGCCGAGCCGCCACTGCCATACTAGCAGGAGCTGCTGTGTTAAAGCGGGTCTGGTGGGCCCAGGGAACATATGCTGCGTGCAGGCTGGAAAAGGGAGAAAGGAAACAGGGGTCGGTGACAGGCACCCTTCTGGCTGCAGGCCCTCGGGCAGTGCCCGAGTGACCGAATGGTCAGTCCGCCCCTGGAGGCTAATGTATTTCTTTGTGCACAGACAATTCACTGTATTATTGCAGGGGGCATTCTGGAAACCAGCTTGGCCATTTATAAAGATCATACAGGCCTGCAGCACTGCTGGTGCCTTCTATGTTTACTAGTAGCCAGCAGCTTGATCACATTGCCCTGTAGTGCTGATTGTTTATTCATAATAGCAGACAAACCACCAGCTTAGAGAGGGGGCAGGGGCTGTATGCTGGCTGTACCTCCCCCCCACAGGAACACCCATATTTTGGGCTTTAGACTGGGGTGGAGCTACAGCCAACGTTAACATAAACCATGAGGTGCAATGGGGCCACCAATCAGAATGGGGCCAAGTTCTATATGCACTTTTTATCTACCAGAGCACCCAATGCTATATGAATTTGTTCCCCTGGTGGTTAAAATAAAAATGTAATATTTTTGTGAGGCCTCTTTTTTTTTTTTTTAAATCAGCGTTTAATTAACAGAGTAATAATCTGACATTCAAACTTATCACAAAGGACTGCACGCAGGCAGTCAGTGGATACTCATTTACAATGAATGAACATGCACAGCAAATAGTTTAGCATAATCTCAGATGAATCGGGCTGTACCAAGACTCAGTGGAGCAGTAGTATCATATGAACTTAAGGAGGAAACATCGGGCAGGTGGCTGTCGATCTTCGGAGAAGTCCAGCCAGTTCGGGATAGGTATAGCCTCTACCTCCAGGAAAGAAAACAAAGCCGGCAGCTGTTGAGGACGATGTAGCTGGAATGTGGCGTCGCCCTTCTGCACAATGAGATGAAAAGGGTGACCCCATCTGTACAAGGCGTCCGCGGAGCAGAGGAACTCCAGTAAGGGCCTCAAGGATCGTCTCATGTGGAGGGTATGTCTGGAAAGATCAGGCATGATGTGAATAGGAGCTCCATCAAAGTCCATCGGTTCCTTGTGCCAGGCCTGTCGCAGGATTTCCTCTTTTATGGCATAAAAGTGGACCCGGCAGAGGACATCACGAGGCGGGGAGTTAGCAGTGGTTTGTGGACGAACTCCAAGAACCCGGTGTACCCGATCCAATTCCATGACCGCATCAGGGGGTTTATCCAGGTAGTGGTTGAGGATCGCCAGGACTGTGGATTGCAGGTCCCTTCCAGTGGTAGCTTCAGGGATACCTCTCAGTCGCAGATTGTTGCGTCTGTTGCGGTTTTCGCCGTCGTCCAGCCTGAGAAAAGCCGTAGTGATCTGTGTGCCCATATCTGAGTGGGCCGGTTCCAAGGCCGACAGCCGCTGTGTGATAGAAGACATAGATTCTTCCAGTGTGGACACCCGGCCATCTAGAGCTTCTGCCCAATTTCCTGAACTTCTTCTTTGAAGGCCGCCACGATCGTCGCTGCCATAGCCTCCAGGTCACTTTGGTGGTGAGCCGCGGAATGATCTCCCTCCAGTCCCCCCCTATCCCCCCCTCGATCAGCAGGCGGTCTCCAGAGCCTGTAGATGGGAGGACAGGCGAGGGGATCGGGGATGGGGGCCGGTTTCGATTGCGGGTCGGCTCCGCCATGTCCTGCAGGGGTGCCAGCACTTTGCCCTTGGACTTAAAAGGAGTGGGGCCTGCAGCCGCCGATCGGGTAATCGCCATGTGCGACGATCCACCTACCCGGCTTGAAGTGTCCGCGGGGGCGAAGAAGCCTGTCAGGGCGGACTGTCGGGAGCTCCGGAGTTGCGGCTGGCTGCCCTGCGGCCGTGACATGCAGAGAGAGGGCTGTTAACGTCACCTTTAGATCGGGTCAGTGCCGGCCAATGCAGAGCTCCTAGAAGACGCGTCTTTACGGCGCCATTGTTAAGCCATGCCCACCTTGTGAGGCCTCTCTTTTAAGGTAGGCAAATAGGTGATTTTTTAAAGCAATTCATTGTCAACGTAACCAACATACTCTGCTAAATTTGGTCTGAGTATCAATGCTTGATGGCCTCTGGTCATGAGAGAGTTAACCTGCTGCCACCTTGTATTAATGCTTTAGTTGATTCTCTTACCTTTACTCCTTTACAAAGGTCACAGGGATGGACAGACAGGCTGCAAAGTGCTTGAACCTTTTCATGTCATCAGGTTTCACAAGGCCAGATTTAGCTGCAACAGATGCGCATGATTACAGGCTGCAGGATCAATACTATCAATTACACAGCAAACAGGCGAATGTAAACAGGGAGGTAAGATATCTTAACGGTGCAGTGTGCTGATTCTTTGGTGCTAAGATAAATCCTATGGGAATAACTTATTTAATCACCATATTGACTCTTCAGTCAGAGTTAATAATGTAAGGTTTCCCTATGGGTCCGTTACCACAATCCACAATAATGCATCAAAGACAGTGCAAGGCATTACAATACCATTCACTTTTATTGGCATACCATTCACTTTTATTGGCATACCAATAAAAGTGAATGGTACAGCGCATACCATACAGTGCATCGTTATACATGTGGTGCACTGCATTAAAAACTGGGGCAAATTCCTGGTTTGGAATTAATTCAAAATGAATGGACTGTAGCAATGTACTATAGAGCACATTGAGGCATTGTGGTGCATGCATTACTGCAATACACGATATTGTGAACTAGCCAAGGACATTTCCTAAATGGCTTTTATTTTGTTGACAAAATCATGTGAGAGACCCATGTAATTTACAGTTTAAGAAGTGCTATATATTTATACAGTGATTGGGGACTATTTAGGTTGCTATTTGGTTCTAAGCCTTGCTTTTACCGCTAATGTGTGTAATAAATATTGGTTTTCTAGGGTACATTTTCATCTGATGCATTTATTTCTAATTTCATATACTGTAATTACTGGATACTAGATGATCTCTGTAGTCATTGCAAATGTGAGTATATGTACTTAGTTTACCACAGACTAGACCTGGGCATTCTACGGCCTAAAGGCCGTTTTTAACCCTTGGTCTGTGGCACTCCCGCCCGCAGTCTGCACAAGGACCGATTGCTGACCTGTGATCACCTATGGCTGGCTGACAATGGATGCACCGGCCATCCACTGCAAGCCAAAGCCCAGCATAAGTTGGCAATCGGTACGTGTCTGGAATGCGCTCCTCTTCAGCCATTGGTTGCTAGGACCACTGGTGTCCTAGCAACCAATTATGTAATAGGTCCTCTGCAGTCATTGATTGCTAGGACACCCAGGCGGTCCTAACAACCATTGACAAAGTTTTCCTGCCCCCCGCTTTACCCTATCCTCCTCCTCCGTCCTCTCCTCCTGGCTCCAGTGTATGAAATTTTAAAAAAAAAAGGTATGTGGCACATATTTACTATTAGGGCCGGTTCTCACCAGGTCCGTGTGATAATCGCACAGTTCCGTGCAATTAATGCACGGTAGAGTGCAACACAACTGACATATGTTACAGTGCGGCGGGAGTGTGCATTGCCATTTATTTGAACGGCACCCCAAACGCTCCTCCTTGCAGTACCACATGTTGCAGTAGGATCAATCGCATCAATCGGCCGAATGGTGTGTTCAGGGTGTCATTCAAATGAATGGCAATTCAACACACCTGCTGCACTGTAACTCATGGTAGGTGCATTGCACGGATCTATTGGTTCCGCCCTCCACAACAGTCCCAGTTATTCATATGGCCCCTTGAAAAAATGAATTTGCCCACCCCTGACATAGATGAAAATAGGGGATAGGCACGAGGAATTGGATCCCAAGGTCACTTGGCACCCTATTTTCCAGTAACTGCCCTTCTTTTGTAAGATGGAACAAACATTTTTTCCTATATTTTTCATTATTGAACACAAAATGCAGGGAGTGATGGTTTTGCCTGTAGTCACCACTTGCTAACCAGTGTACATTGAGAGTGCTGCAGAAGCCTTGCGATGCTCTCAGCATACACCAGCTGCAAGAGGCAGTAAAATGAGGTATAAGTGTGCTCGTTTATTTAAAATTCTTTTAATAATTGGTTAATTGTCATACTTAAAAATGTTTTAGACACTTACAAAACAGGACAAGGAAAACTTTGTTCTCTTTTATATTTCCAACCCAGGCCAGCAGGGAATCTTCTATAGGACCATAAAACCTCATCTCCATCATATTCTCCTCCCCTAGACAGATACAAAATGTTCAATAAAAAGCGGGACGTTTATCATTTACCCCTCAGATACCTGAGCTGTGATCTCATCTTACCTTTCGCGTATTGTAGCCGTCTCTCCTTTATCTTTACTGCCGGACTCCTCCTGCAGTTACACAAAACTGAAATCATTTGATATTTCACCTGATTATGCAGACAACAATCAGTTTTTCATCGGGCTATGCAAAGACCACTAATGTGCAGCAATCCGCAGCAAGCAAACAGACTTTTTCATTTTCTTTAGAGCAGTCATCTGATTTCTCATTGGTTATAGATTGTTGTACTTTGATCTTTGCTGTTAGAGCCTTGGATTGGTAACATAAATCAAGCGCGCATCTCCAAAAATAAGAGAATCAACAAATTCCAGAATTGTTCCACCACTCAATAGTTAGAATGACCCTGTGCCGGTGGTGCTGGAGGTGGGTTATGTGTATCTCTAGGCAAACCTTTTTAATCTTTTTTTACTTTGGATAGAGTGGAGAAGGGTTAGACTCTACTGGTCATGATTGCCACCAAGAACGAAAATTAAGGTAAATCCAAAATTATGGAGTTGTCCCCAGAACAAGTGGTAGGGGAAGTCATTCAAATGGGACATCTGTTCCAGGGACAATTGTCTAAGTGGGGAATGTCCCTAACTTTGGGAGATTTTCTTCAACTTCCTGTGGCTGGGAAGGGAAGGGACATTTCTCCAGTGGTACAAAGACATAATTTTTTTTTAAAAATAACCCCTCTATGGGGGTCAGATTGTACACATGTCCAACCCATGGGTTCTGAGTGTTTTTATACCAGCTTGGCTGATCTTCTTAATCTGAAACCTAAAACCTAGAGCCTATGTTTTTTTGTTTTGTTTTTGTGACTCTTATTAGGAGATTTTCATTCAGTTTGGGTTCTAATTAGAAACAATTTGCAGGGCCATTTGCCAATACAACAAGCAATGTAAACTCATACATTGTGCGGTTGTGATGGCAGCAAGAGTTGAGGATAAATATTCCAAATTAGGACAAATGTTCTGGGGCAACTTTCTATGCACTCACTTCCTGTTACTTCTCCAAGACAGCAAGTGAAGGGAAATCTCCCCAGCAAGACACAGCAAAAATAACCCACTGGGGGTTTGAACTATTCCCTACTCTTTCCAAAGCTGAAAAAAAAGTTTGGGCTATTCATACACTCTATAAAGTCTATTTATAAACAATCATAGCAGAGACCTTCGCCCTGTAAATATCTGTAAATGTCTGTGAATAATGGCAAAAAAGAATGTTCTTATTATATTTTCTTTTTCAGGTCAAATGGATTGTGATGTAATACTGTGTTATGCTCACTGGATGGAGTGGAGGAGCATACAAAAATAAAAATGTATTTCCTGTGCTCCTTGGCTCCATCTAGTAGCCATAATGCAGTATTACATCACAATTCATTCGTCCTGAAAAGAAAATACTACAGATGTGTTTTCTCTTTGCCCCCATTGTCAGGATTTCCCATCAATTTTTGAATTATGTCCAGAGGGACACAGTTGGCAGCAAAAAATAAACAGATAGTCGAAACCTTCCCGATTGCATGGATAATAAAATAAAAACATTAATGAAGTAAAAAAGTTTTGACTGTAATAAAAAGCAAATAATGAAAATGTATCAACAGAGTCTCCTGACGAATTCTTGTGAAAATACTTTATATACCGTACGTTATATCTACAGACAATACACAACATTATAGTAAAATTATGAAGGATGTCTCTTACCAGCTACCATCTGTGATGACCACTTCCCCATCATTGATGTCAAACTGTATTTCAGGCGGTAACTGCACGTCCTCATGGGGCACATTAGAGGCAACGGCAGCCAGTGACCACTTCCCGGCAATCTGAGGCATCAGAAAAACCATAAACGCTGAGCCGCAAACCAGGTGATTGAATAAGGCAGCGAAAAGCGGAATTATGAAGAACAAAGCACGACATCCAATAGCAACCCATTTACTATCACTTGATATTAATTAGGGATGCACCTATACCGAAACCAGTATCGGTGCCGATGCCGAGTATTTGGGCGAGTACTTGTGCCTACCCAAATGCTCCGATGCCTAGACCAATACCTGAATTTCTGGTATCAGAAAGCCGGGCAGCGATTCATTACACACTGCCCAGCTTGCTAATTACCTGGGCTCCATGCTTTGGGTTGGTCGAGAAACGGGCCAATCAGGAAATAGGGCAGCGAGTCATTACCCGCCCCCCGGCTTCATGCTCCAGGTGACGAGGGAGCATTGAGACGGCTTCCCTGCTACTCGAGAAGCTGGGTGGCGAGTCATTACACACTGCCTGGCTTCCTTAATAGGACTTCCGGTATCAGTATTTTGTATTGGCGAGTACCGGAAAAAAAGCATTGGTACTCGTACTCGATACCAAAAAAAACGGTATCAGTGCATCCCTGATATTAACTTAGTTGCAGCAGATCTAAATCCAAAAACAGAAATGTTATATATTGCAGCTTACCAGTCCCTAGATTTGGTGGCCGCATTAGTTTTCTTTTATCGCACTTTTTCCCTTATTTTAACCTCTTAGAAATAACACATTTTTCTGTCCTTTCATGTCTACACTAATTTCTTCATCGTATCTATGGAGGAACCCAAGGTCGTCACACAGATTGCACGTCAAACATGTTTGGCTTTCTTTATCTAACGAAATGGTGGATTGATGTTTAGTTTACACAAGAAAGATAACATTGTTTATGCTGTCCGTTCAGCTCACAGGAAGTGACAAGGACACTGCATTTTTGGCAGGATCAACATGTATTTTCTGTACTTGCAGCCACCTCATGTAAGGACCGGTAACCTGCAATATATTCAATTTTTGGTTTCGGGTTTAGATATGCTTTAACCCTTTCACTGTCACCAACATATGTCATACGTCGCAGTCAGTGGGCCCCTTTAAAAGAAACTCCCAGTGACTGTCGGCTTTACAGTGGATGTGATTCTGGAGGCTGAGAATCCCCCACCCCTGCGCTCGACACCTATGCCTTGCTTTCCGGGCTCTACTGACCATCCTGTGGGCCTGGGACCAGCTTCACTGGTGTCGCGGGGAGGGAGACCAACGAACACCCTGTTTAATCTCCGCCACGCTGAAGAAGGCTGGAAGCGACGCTAATTGCATTACTTCCGGTCCATCAGCTGTCATTACTCGGCTGCAGAAGCCAGGCAAGAAGCTGTTGGAATGCGATCTGCACTTGAATAGCTTCTTTGTAGTGGAAAGGTGACACAAGGGATCTTATAGACCCCTAATTTTACCTTAAAGAGGACCTGTCACCACTAATGTGCTATCACATTGGTTTGTAAGCCCCCTTATGTGATAGCAATTAAGTAAAAAAAATAAAAATAAATGTAAAAATAATTTTAAAAAATTAGGTTTCCCTCCCCCATGAGCGCAAATGTATTATTGTAAACACGCGTCAGCTGCGCCTATGTATGATCACGCTACACTTGTTAGGTATCGCCGCATGCGACAGAGTGAGAGCCATTATTCTAGGGCCAATATTTATGGATATCTCTAAACTGATGACCTGTACAGGCTTTTATAGTGTCACCTATGAACAATTGTCTGCTTCACAGACGCACATGGGCATGTTGGGTATCTTTTTACTCGTTTCTATTTTACAACAATGGCTATTATATTGTGTTTTGGGACACTTAAGTGTGCTTTGGGATTGCAGAATAGCACCATGTTACACTCTAAATATGGATGGAACATGGAACATTGAGCCAGTGAGATCTACGAGTCTCTTTGCCGTCATCCTGTGAATTGATTTGTGAATGGATGATGCAGTTATGTGGATGGAACTGCACACAACCGTGGCAAATCTAAATTATATTTACAGAATCCTGCAAGAGTAGAGGGTGTTGGGGGTGTTGGGGGTGTGGGGCTGAGGATGTGACCATGTTTCATGTTACACCCTAAATATGGACGGAACATGGAACATGGTATGAACTTGATATAACCTTAGCCATTGAGTCATTGAGATCTACGAGTCCCTTTACTGTCGTCCTGTGAATGGATTTGTGAATGGATGATGCAATTATGTGGGTGGGAACACTATGATTCAGGTAAGTAGGGGGTGCTTCAAGGTTGGGGGTGGCTTTAGATGGGACCCTGTTTCATGTTACACCCTAAATATGGCTGTAACATGGTAAGAAAAGTGGACTATTCTATTAAAGATACAAATCTGATCAGTTGTTATTCAGTTCTTGTTAACAGTTAATGTACAGCATATTGATCGCACATACTGACATCAAAGACCTACCTTGTCCACATCTAAAACTGCAACTTCATTAGGCAAATCTGAGCAGGAAGAAGCTTAAAAAAAAAAAAAAAAAATTCAGTTTTTCTTATGTACACACACCTCTTTTTCCCACATTAAAACTAAACTCTACGACCAGGGCCGGATTTACTCTCTCTGCTGCCCCAATGCCAGGTTCCTCAATGCGCCCTCTTGTATGCAGGCTGAATACAAGTGATCTCGGCGACATCACCCAGATCACTTGTACAAAGCAAGCAGCGGCTTCCCCGCTGTACATTTAGCCCTGCTTTCCCAGAGCAGGGCTAAATGTAGAAAACAACTACCCGCCCAGAGCCCGGAACTGCATGTCCTGGGCATCGGGAGATAGGAATTCCACACCCCTGCTGCCCCTCTACTCCCTGCTGCCCCAAGGCCGGGCCTCGGTTGGCCTTGTGGGAAATCCAGCCCTGTCTGCGACAAGCAAATATTGTCTAAGTATAAGAGCCATGTATATTCTTCCTTGAATCTTGGGGAGTTTTGTGTATTTCCTCCAGATCTGTGCAGCAATCCAGAGTGAAACTTGGAGCTTCCTGTAATAAAGACCGGTCACTGCTGCTCTCTCTCCTTGTGCAGGTGACTGGTCTTGTCTCCGCCCCCTGCTGTAGTATTCCACAGGTATTCTGTTGTAGGTGGAGCCTGCTGGGCACCTCCCACAGCTCTGCTCTTTGCACAGGCTATGTACAGCATAGGGATGATGTCACTGCTACCTTTACAAGGTAATATTTAGGTTTGGTAAGGCAATTGGTCCACACAAAGTGGATTTATATCCTTTATGGCTTT